AGAGCCATTTCTTACAACAGTGAGTTGCATCCAAATGAAATTAGTCTTTTCAATCATTTTTACCAAAATATTAAAGAAATTGCTCGATGCCTATTTTTGTCCATTAAATTTCATCTATAGCTTATTGTCATTACTAACTACTTATTTTTGTAATAATGGGTGTAGTTTTTTTTTTTTTTTTGCAGATATTATCCCTTCTAGAATTTAGAATTTAACAAATTAGTTTTTCAATATCTTTCTTTAAGAAAAGAGTTAATAATGTATAACACATTTATTCGAACAGAGGAGAATTTTCAACAAATTTACCAAATTTAGATGCGGATAAATACTCTATCATATGCGTTAAACTCATATTTCCCCCAGATATCTCTTTGTAAATCTCTGAAATTAAAGCATACAAAGTTAAACTAGTTACGTACGTAAATTTGTCTCCGTTTTTTGAGAATTTGTAATGTAATAGTATGGAATATTTGATTAAGTAAATCAGACATTATTAGTCTGTTTGTTTAAAATAGATTTAACATGTTTTTTTTGAACAAAACTGGCTTAACTTATCATTACCAAAACGACCACACAAAAGCAACTGCCATAGGTAACCGTGTGACGACAAGTTTCATGTCTACCGTCCGCCCAAGGACCAGACTCAGAATTAATCACCTCCGTAGAAGCCATATAATTTGCTGATCCCGCTTTGGGCTTACCTGAGCCAATGACTTGTAGACACGACACATCAGCTCCTATATCAGTTTCTTAAGTATCTTTGCTGGAAAAACACAGCACACCCAAAACAAAAATAATATCCAGAACGTGGAAAAAACACAAAACAAAATAACATAAGTAAGTCTTTTCGCTAAAAGAGCCGAAATCAGCATCAAATCTTCTGGTGGGGCTGTGGGCCAGCACCCACCTCCTCCCCATTTTTTGGGGAGTCCAGCGCCATAGCATCCTTCCCCGCTTCCTCTCTTATCTATTCCTCCCATAAGCGCCTTCTCTTCAGCTCTCCAGTCATCCCATCCTCATCAAGCTCTCCTGGGACCCCGGCCTCCCCCCCACCTGTCTTAGCACTCTCCCCTGTCTCATCGGACACCACCTCCTGTTCTGGCCTCATCATCCGTGTCATGTGCGGCTCCCCACCAGAAGAGCTTCCTTCCGTTATCAACCATTTGCTGCCCAAGATTGACTTCGCCTTCCTTCCGCTAGCTCTAAGCCACGGCCCAAAAGGTCTGGCCATGGCTTGTCCATCCTTTTCATACAGCAGAGGGCAGAATCTCTCTGCATGTCCAATCATTCCACAGTAGAAACAGAACTTGGCAACTTCTCATACCTAAAATCTACCCAATACCCTTCACCTTTGCTCTTCCTTAAAGTGGTTCCAATTTTTAAGGCCTTAGCAGTATTCATTCGAACTCTCACCCGCATATAAGCCTCCTTTTTGTCATTATTTTTCTGTTCATCCCACCTAACAAATTCCCCCAGAAAATTCCCTATTCTCCTTGTCGTACCCAAGTTTCCAAGACTATACGGCACATTATGAACCTGAACCCATATTTCGAATTCATCTAACACCATCTTAATTGGAATGTCCCCCGGATTAATAGCTCTTAGCACAATCAGACTCTGGTCATACAGCCATGGTCCATTTTCCAGGACCCGGTTCATATCAATGGGGTGAAAAAACTTAAAGAGATACCTTCGTTCGCCGATTTCTTGTACAGTCATCTCTTTGATCGGGCTCCATAGCTCTGCCATGAATCCTCGGAAGAACGGGAAGCAGATAGCATTATCTGTGAGAATCGTCCCAACCACCGGAAAAACCTTTACCTTCTCTGGCTCCTCTGCCGCGACCACGTCTTCATCATCATCAATTAGCAGCTCGTCGTCCACACCCCCGATTCCCAGCCCTCTGCATCTTTCGACTATCTCCCCCACATGTTCGTTCTACCGGTCGCGAAGCTCCCTGCTTACCTCGTCCTCGATGGTCTCCATTCCGGCTCGAGACGCTGCTCCGTCTCCCGGCCTCCGTCGCGGTACTCCGTCTTCGATCAGCGCCGCACGCAGAACGGCGAGAGAAAATCCCTCAGCTTTCGCTAGGGTAGAGTTTTTTTATCAAATAAAAACACCATAGATTTAACATGTTTTAAAATGGCCTATTCTATAATATCAAATTAAAAGATAGTATATACTTCTGTTTATGTTTATCATGTTAAAATAGATTTAACATGTTTTAAAATGGCTCATTCTATAATATCATAATAAAAGATAGTATATACTTCTATCATATTAAGATAGTATTTTATTTGTTAATTTATGTTTATATATTTATGTTTATAAATTTTTTACTTGAAATGAAGAGTACAAGGAAAGAATCTACTTCTTAAACTATACGTTAAGAGCATCTCCAATGCTAAAACGTTAACGGTGCATACGTGGCATGAAAACTAACCAATTAAAAAACAATAAATACAATATCCCTCTCCTTATTTGAAGGATCTTACATCATTTTGGTAAGTTTTTCTTCACAATGTCAAGCACAATGTCTAGATGTAGACATTGTGTTTGACATTGCAGACAAAAACTTACCATAAACACATAAGACCATGGAAAGAAGGAGAGAGATATTGTATTTATTGTTTTTTAATTGGTTATTTCTCATGCCACGTATGCACCGTTAACGTTTTAGCATTGAAGATGCTCTAATACGTGCGTGCGCGATTAGAGCAGTCCAAATGGGTCGAAATCCATTGGCTGACCCGTTTAAACTCATTTATTGGTTGGTTAGAGTTGTGAATTTCTTACCCATTTAGCCGTCAAAAAGTACATTATTTTTGTCCACTTTTGTATCAATTGTTTTTACTAATATTGTTAAATTTATATGGTCAGTTATTGTCGGTTATCTGGTTTCTGATCGAAATAAAACTATGATTTTTTTGGTCGGTTGTTGCAATGCTATCGATTGGCTTTGGTTGGCTAATAAGATGGACAAGTTTGATCGGTTATTCGGTCGACCGACCGAATGCTCACTCCTAAAAAATTGGGTTTCATCCAAACCACGCTGTTGACAATTGTCATTGATGCTCAGTTAGGTTGTGGTGATCAACAAGAGTGAGTGATAACCTTTGAGAAGAGCTAATTTTCATTTGCAACATGCACTTTTTTTAGTAATGCATAATTTTAAAGTCATGACTCACTTTTCTCAAATGAATAATATGAAAGTCGTGATTTTAAGAACATTCCATTCCGACTCAAGCCTATCAAAGTGAAGATGATGATTGGGCGACCAATACATCATTGACATATTTATATATTGATAATATAATTTTTAGAAATTTCATCTCGTGCAACGCACATGTGAAAAATCTAGTAATTCTAATGGGGAAGTGAAGTTAAGGACAAATATAAGACATGTTTTTTTATAAAAAAAAATAGACTAAATAGGACTAAGAGGATCATTACACCCTTCTTATTGACATGACAAGCTACAATGACGATGCTATGGTGACCAACATCACAGCGACTCTACCCACAATGATCAATGCCTCAGTGACAATCGTCGGTTGACCGACCATATATAATGACTACCGCTAGCCACATCCAGTAATTGTTGTTCAGTTGTCACCTTCATCTTTAGTGACCATTTCCCCACACATGTATACCCCCTTCCTAGTGGTTAGCCACATCTTCAGCCCACCGTCCCAACCCTAGCCCCTCCCAAACAGCCCCACCCCACATCCGTACACATTTAGCCACATCCCTGCTTAACGTCTATCTTTAACTTGGTCGCCTTGTCGGTTCCCATATGGGGCCGCACTCAAACAAAAAAGAGAAGAGAGAGGCGGCACCCGCAGGTGCATGGGGATGCAAGTGGAACGAGGGCAGCGACAATGAGGTATGTGATGGCGTATGATGGGGGACGACAGTCAGCCTACGTTGGGCAGTAGGTCAGCGGGTTGGGGCGTGTGCCAGTGCACGATGAGGCACAAGACGTGAGAAGAGGCACCGCATCGGTCGCGGTGGCGCTTGTCGAAAGGGAGTCGACTAAAGAAAGGAATTTGACGGTGAATGTGTGTCTTACTTGTGAAGGATTTAGGCTTTACAATGAATGTATATGAGGTGCCTTAAGTCATTTCTGTAACGTGCCTTTTTATCTTAATCAAAATCTAATCTTATTTTTGTTCATTCCAAACCTAATAGTATTATATACATAAATGACCTAAATAAGAGTAAATTAAAACACATATATTTCAAAATAGAGTTGTCAAGTTTTTATTCCATAAATTTGAGTAATTACCGTCATGTTTTGACGGTAGTAGAATTTAAACATGACTATATTTCCAAACTTGTCAATAATTAGTACTCCCTCCGTCCCGAAGTAAAGGTCCTGGTTTGACTTTCACACAGATTAAGAAAATGAAATTGACTGCACACTGTTTGGCACTGTAGCGACACTGTTTGACACTGTTTTGCACTATTTGGTATAGATTTGTTTACCAAATAAAGAAGATAAAGAAGTGAGACATTTATTTTGGGACGGACCGAAAAGGAAAGCAGGACATTTATTTCGGGACGAGGGGAGTAATATTTAAGGAATAAAAATATGAGTCTTGTTTTGGAATTTCAAAACATTTGTACGCTTATATAATTTATCTTACCTATTTACTACGGAGTAGTATGTTCTTTGGGATAATTTGAGTTTGCACTTCATTTTATTGTCCAAATTGGACTTTGCACCATGTTTTTAAAAAACTTTATTTTTGCACCTCAATCCCATATGAAAAGACAAAATGCCCTAAATCAGTAATATGTTGAAGGGCAACATAATTATTAATGGAGGGGCATTTTGCCTTTTCATATGGGATTAATGTGTAAACACAAATTTTTTAAAAAATAGAATGCAAAATTCAATTTAAACAATTGCAAACTCAAATTTCTCCCAATGTTTTTTCATATTGTAAAGAGCATTTTCAACGGAGGACCATCTTGTATAGTTGTATTCTTGTTTTCAAATCGAATGGTTCCAACTTCCAAGAGTCGACAATAGACATGCATGTCTCGCCAATAGAATGGCCAACTAACCTCAGGAAATCTCCCATCAATATCAGAGAGTAAAGCGAATGAAGAAGAAGACCAACAATGGTTTTGAGTTCTGCGATGTCTGCAAACTGAATCACAACCAAGGCAGGAAGCACAACTATTTCCCCAGCCACAAGAAATCGCTGGAGGCGACGCTCTCTCGGTTCCGATCGAAACTCGCTGACATCCGCTTCTTCCTAAAAAACCCTACCCCTCTTCGCTCTGAACAAGCCCCTCTCAATCGCCTCTGGTGCGTGTTCTGCCAATTCGATATCCTTGAGCTCCACAGTTTCCACACCAGGTACGGTTCAAAGCAATTCATAGATCGAATTGATGGTGATAAGGTGATGTTGAAGTATTGCCGATACTGCTTTGTTGTGAACGCTATGATTTAGTGAAAATGCTATTGCGCATCTGGCAAGCGAGGACCATTTGAAGAAATTGAAAGGATTCCTATGGAAACACGGCGGTGCAATGGACAAAATAGATTTCTACCGGATTAAAGAGCTTGATTTTGTTAAGGTGCTTTCTCTTACTCCCGACCACATAAGACACATAAGAGTGGACGTAAATTTTTATGTTAAGATGAAACATACATAAATGCATAGAATTTTCTGCGCGTTCTGTTCTCTTCCCACTATTTGTATCGATAATTCATATGTTCCATGATTCCATCAAATGTACAAAGCGAGAGAGCATGGTTTTACTAACGCTAAGCAATTGAGCGTTGACAAAATAAGCTGGGTGAAGTTTGCAGTTTATAAAGTTAGGATTCAGATGGAGTTATTCAATTGGACCTTAAGGTGCTTAGACCAAACCTATTAAAAGATTAGAATCCATTCTATTAGTTAGCTCAATCCAATATCTTGCATCTCATATCTCATCTCTTCAATATTGAGGTGTGAGACTCTAACATGAAGCAATTCTTAAATTTTCACTGTTCTTTGCGAGACAAGATAACCCCGTAGTGACTTGTGACAGTATTTTATCTTGACTCCCAGTTTCAATTTTCACTTAACAGTTAACATTGACTATTTAACCTATTTTCTGTCTAATGGTTTCCATGTACTTTCCTTTGCAGTGGAAAAAACAATGCAAAGCCTCAAAGAAGGAGGCTGTTTGTGAAGAAACTCATGGGCCCTTAATTGGACCGTCAAATGATATCCATAATGAAATGAACTCTGACTATGTAAATAGTTGTGCAATAGATAATATCCATGCTGATAACATTGACTTTTCGAATTGTGTTGTGCCTTTACAAAACTGTACTAATGAGAGGTCTCAGATATACGAATCAGAGTTACCAATCACACAGGGTGGTCACATGGGCTCAAAATACGGGGCCAGTTCATCCTGCATTAATTCATCTAGTATGTGCATTGTAACTATTCAACATCATTTTCTTATTTTAATTATAGCATTGCATGTGGTGTTTTGAATAAAAATGATCATAATAATTTTCTTTTCGTGTACTTGATGCAGGGTATGGGATTGCTGGACAATCTACACCATCGCTTGGAACTGCAAACTTATCTTCTCATCCCCTCATTAATGGCTTTGTATGTTACCAATCTCTCTTTAATGCTTTTCCTTGTTTCTCTTTCACATGACAGGGGTTAGTTTAGTTTTTTCCTTTTGAGGTTAATAAATACGAAGTATATGATGATTACATTGATTTTTGAATGTGTGGGCTCTACTTCCCGTCTCTTTGTGTTTATTAGCCACTTTATTTGACATTCGTTTACACTAGCCAGTCGTGGTAGGGCTATAGCCATAAGGCCCATAAAAGGTTTTACCCTTGCGCGGGTTTCTTTGCAACCTACTATACCCACTCCCTATCATACCAAAAAAAACAACATAAAAAATTAATGTTTGGTAAGCCCCGACTACCTGGGCTTACCTATTACCAAAAAGAACCTGCCTGGTATGGTTATTTATGCAATTATGCCATAAAGGATTACCCATTCTTCAGAGGGTGTCGTCGTATCTATGTCCCAAAGTAATGCTACATCTAATTTAAACTGCACTATTTTTTTTTGGTTTTGCTAGCTATTATTATCATCCATAGATTCTACCTTTTCTTGTAGACCCCATTTTTCAGTATTTGAAAAGAGAGAACTTGTAAACTAATTAACACCATCTTTATTCTCCTTATAAGCTTGTCAAAAAAACAAAATATATCTGACATTATGGGATGAATATGCGCACGATTTTTTTTTTGTGTGTTTTCCATGTATGCTTCAACTTGTGGGATAACTGTTGCAACAACGTTTAATATGTGCTACCATAGTTAGGCCTTGAATGAAAGAGGTGACTGTATAAACCATAATGCCATATACCAATTTAATTTTGGTAAAACCGCGTTTTTAACCAAAGAAATGTGGCAAATATCGCTTGAAAAGAAATGATCTTGTAAATACTGTTGTAGTTCATAGCAGATGGAATAACAAGGCTAATAATCTGCTGCTTTAGCTCCCGTCGTTTTGCAGTTCTGGTGATTTTCTCCTTTAGAATTTAGTGATGGGTTCTGTTTTCATATTAGTGAATTTATTATCTTGGCTTGTGGCGATAACAGGCACCCCTGAAAGAGAAAAAAGCTAAAGAGGGAACCGTTTCTTTGGGTAAACACAAAATGCTTCTGGTCACATATTTTTGTCCTCGCATAACTTTCGTTTCGTGTTCCACATTTTTTTTCCACATTTCGTTTTTAGTATGTCGTTTGATGCGGTCTACTTTGCTGTGTATATATTACAATTCCCAAATGATACTCCGGCACTGTTTTGGTCTTTTTAATATTTAATAAAAGCTGAAAACATTTAAAGTGTTACCTACTTTATATGGGAATATTGATTTTTTCGGAGACTGACAGTTATTTTACATAAATAAACACACACACTTTCGCCGCTTCCCTTATGACATATGTCTACATCAAACCATTTTTTTTGTTTCGAGTGTTATATGAGTATATATTTTGGGGGTCTACAATTCTACATGTGTTGTCTGTCTCACTGTCTTCTGGGTACCAACGCATTGGATGGTTAGACAATAGACATTTTTGCTCTTCTTGTTTATGCATAATTGGTCTGTTTTCCTATTATTTTTTGGCACAACTTATAGAAATTTCTATATCAGCAGAAGAAGCCATCATAGGGAATGTTCATTCTGGAGCACCTCCTCCGTGGTTAGATGCTTTTGAACAAAATCAGATGGATTCTTTGTCAAAGTCTGGTCAAAATGGCCTTGACTCTTTATGTCAAAAGAGTAAATGCTCTAAACTAAACCCAAAACGGGTTGGTGCTGCATGGGCTGAGAAAAGAAAACTTGAGATGGAGTTGGAGAAGAAAGGAGAACTTGTCATGAAAAATGCTGATGCAAATTGGCTTCCCAATTTTGGAAGAGTTTGGCAAACTGGCAGCAGGAAGGAATCTAGAAAAGAATTTCAGATTGAAAAAAAGTTGTCTGGGAAAATTGAGAGCCAATCATCTAGTGTGATACAATTACAGCCTTATATCAGCAAACGAATGGTACGCTCTGTTAGTCTACCTCTCAAAGTCACAACTATAACTTAAAATTTATGAATTGTAAAAAGTTGCTAATTCTCTTGGGATGATACTAAGTTGAAGAATAAAGTGGAAAGTAAAAAGTTAGTAGGGTTCAAATTAGTGAAATGGTCAAAATTTTGGGACAGAAAAAAGGGAAGTGTATCTAATAAAATAAGAAAAGGGGTATTTAGAAAGGAAAAAGAGTCAAGAACTCGATTGGGATGGTGGGAAAAGGAAGGGGGAGAATACTTATGGACAGAAGAACTGAAGGAGTTTCGTTTTGTGTAGGAAAACGATATTACAACAAAATCAGCATTCCATAATATTACGTTATTTTGATAATTACTAAAACTATTATATTATAATAATTTAGTAGATATTAGTACTTTAACTATTATTATTATTATTATTATAAACTAAAATAATCATAAATATTTGCACTAATAATATAATATTATTATTATTATTATAATCATATACGAAGTATATTTTACTATAGGTGTTGTTAAAAACTAATTTTAAAACTAAAGGCATTGGTCTTTATTCGTTTATAATTCATGGTGGGCAACCAAGCCTACATAAATTAATAAACAAAAGGGTTTTCTATTTTAAAAGTGAGATCATGCACTGGGTTTAGACGGGAGGTAAATAGCATTTTTATTTAGTGGTAATGTAAGCTCCTATATTTTGCTATTTAATTGCGTTGGCCATACGGGTTCCCTGATTTGTACTTCAATATCATTTCAGCGCAAGGATTTGGTGGATATTCCTGAGCAGCCAAGCAGTCCGGAGTAAAGCCATATTTAGACTACAGAGTGCATCATTGTATATAGAAGTAGTAAACCCATGTGTTGTTCTGCTAGGGGTTGAAATATTACGGATTCGTCGAGTTGGATATGTTAATGCAATGCAGCTATGGTATGAAAATTTGGGTCGATGCTATTTGTCTGGTTAACCCCTTTCCACCATTGGCAAGTAGTCCTCTATAGGGGTGGACTGGTTCCGGGCCGGGCCTGACCGGGCTTTTTATTGGGGAAGTGAGGCCCGGAACCGGCCCGGGTAGCCAGCGGTTCCAGGCCAGGGCGGTTCAATGTTAATTTTTTTTCTTTTTCTTTTCTAATTAACCCCCGACTCCCCACCCCTTCACCCCCACCCCAAAACACCCAGCCCAACCCGGGTAAAAAAAAATTGAAAAAAAAAGGCTCGGACCAGGCCCGGTCGGTTCCTATTTTAGCAGGCCCGTGCCCGCCTCAAGTAACCAACGGTTTGGGCCACCCGGTCCGGTCCTATGACAGGGTACCGGGCCGGGTACAAACGGTACCGGTTCGGGCTGGACTACGAACCGGTCCATCCCTAGTCTATCACATTTTACTTTTTTAAGACGTGTTTACTTTGTTGCTAAATTCAGAGTTAGGTTAGTAAGACAAGTGAAGTAAACACACGGACTCCTTAAAAAGCTGCTTACTAACCAAAGACGTGTTTACTTCACTGCTAAAGTCAGAGTCAGGTTAGTAAAAGAAGTGAAGTAAACACGCAAATTGCTTAAAAAGTTTCTCACTAACCGAAATAGATGCTTAAAGTGTCGTTTACTAAACATATCACCCTATATATTAGTTAAGTGACACTTTAAATTTTTTCAGTTTCCGAATTTATCCTTGCCCCTTTACCGTTACGGCGTTACCCCTTATTATTACCCCTACCCCACCCCTACCTCTACCCACGCTAACTCCCTGTGGACATTTAATTATGGGGCAATTAAATAGGGACATCCCAATATGGTAAAACGGGACATTTAAAAGGGGACGGAGGGAGTAGCGGGGTGGGCTATACCATACCCCTAGGGACGGATCGGGGTGGGGTCTGAGTAAGGTAGAGTAGCGGGTAAGGGTGGGGTAGGCGTTGTAGGGGTAAAGGTAGACAAAGGTTAGGGTTACAGTGGGGTAGGAGTAGTAGGGTTGGAATCAGGGGTAGGGGGTAAGGGTTAAAGCGGGATACAGGTAGGGGTAAGGGTTAGAGGGTTAGAGCAGGATATGGGTAAGGTGGGTACGCGTTACGGGGTGACCCTCACGTATTATATTATATACTTTTGTGCATGAATATTTGTGTGTCTATATATATAGGGTTATATAGGGTTATTTTGGACATTTTAATGTTAAATGGTGTTTTAACACAAGTCTTTACTATTTACTATTTAGTACTTTGAAGTAAATGTGTCGTTAGTCTACCTCTATCTCTTTCCGAGTTTCCGTATATACTGATTATTAAGGATGTTTTTACTTGGACTGTAATTTGTCCCAGACCAGACCAGACTTGGATAGTTATAAAAATACAAAGAAACCAGACCTTACCAGACCAGACCAGTTCAGACCAGATCAGACCAGACCAGACCAACAAATTACAGTTCAAGTAAAAACATCCTAACTATGCACCACCTCCGTCTTAGTTTAAGAGGGTGTTTGGATTTGATTCTCAAAACTGGTTCTGCTCCTTCATGGAGCAAAAGCAGAAGCTGGAGTGTTTGTGTGAAATTTCAGAAGCACTTCTGGAACTCTAATTTACTCTCAGAATCAGTTTTTTTAGAAGCTGGAAGGTACCAGCTTCTGAAAACTGATTCTGATTCTGCTTCTGCTTTTAAAAAAGAAGCAGAAGCAGAATCAGTTCCAAACCCCCCCTAAGTCTATTACATTAGAAGGTCTGGTTTGTAACGGTGAATAGGTTTTTTTCTCCCATTATGCTTATATATATACATGCTTTTCATCCGTATGCATTTGATTTTAGAAATGACAAATAGGATGTAGGGCCACTTTTAACCATATCCTTTTAATTTACCCAGTATAATTACTCCATGTTATTGGGGTGTTTGGCAATTGACGGTTGGCTGTTAGCAGTTGGCTGATTGATGATTGCGGATTCTGTTGGCTGTTTTAATTAGTTGATAGTATTAGTTGTTTGTAAAATGATGTTTGGTTAAATGGCTGTTTATAATTGGCTCGTAACTTGTTAAATGACTTTTAAGGACACCAAAGATTTTTTTTAATGGGAAAAGGGTCAGATAGGCCCTCGCACTTACATAAAAAGTTCAAATCACGCCTTTTATAGGAGGTTATGTCCGGCTGTCGCCATTTAGGACGATTCCCGGTAGAATTTTTTGATGAATTTTTTTGAACATCTTATTCATTAAGTCTAATTTACTCATACCAAATTTCAGCTAAAACTTCAATCAGGAAGGCAATCAAATGAATTTTTAAAGATAACTGCGCAGTTAAACAACGCAGTATATTTCAGAAAATCATTTGCCTCCCTTACCGATTGTATTTTTAGCTCAAATTTGATATGAGTGAACTAGACTTAATGTCGTTAATGAAGAAGATGTTTAAAAAATTTATCAAAAAAATCCACTGTGAACCGCCCCAAGTGGCGACGGCCGGACAAAATCTCTTATAAAAGAGGTGATTTGAACTTTTTATGTAACTTTACGATCCACTAATTTGGAGTTCTTACGCCTTAGCTTAAAGTGGACAAGAATATTCAATCGCGATTGGTGTCCTAATTTTAGGAGCTCTTTGAGTTTCTTGAAAGCGAAGACGATTTGGGCTCAGCTTGTTTTTTATTTATTTACTTCATACTTATTTTGTTTCAAATTGGATGTGTTTCTCTGTTTTGATAATGATTTGAGAAATTGATCCTTTGTTTGCTTTTAGTGATGAATTAAAGGACGCCTTTGAATTTTATTATTTGAACTCCTCTTGATAGATGAAAACGGACTCATAGATGGAGCTATGTTTTCTATCTACACAAATAAATAGTAGAGCTAAAAAAGGATGCTCCTTGGTGCGATGGTATCCATGAAATACTTGCAACTTTGCAAGTGTTCTTTCCAGAGGAAGATGTTGCAGGGATCGAGCAAGAGGAGAAGGCAGCATTGAGTAAAATAGGAAAATCGTTACATTCTTAAACGGTCAATCCCTAAACGCTGGTTTTTCATTTTGGCTGATTAGGACGAAAAGCCAAGTAAAAAAGTCAATTAACCAAACACCCTTATTAGTTGATTGGTCTGGTGGAAAGGCTAAAAATGATCAAACCAACCAAAAATGGCTGATAGACTCCTAAACACAATTACCAAACACTCATTTAAAACTCCATTTGCCGATATACTTTTGATATTAAAATATTGGAGGTTATGTTCACCCTTTAAATAAAAAGGTGAACAAAATTGAACACCCTCCAATTCCCTAAAAAAAGAGCGGTTGGTGGAGGACTACATTTTTCCCTAATAGCCTCGGCTATTAGAGAAAAATGTTCAAATGAGGAGTGAATAGGAACCAGACCGGCCGACACCAATCACAAGTCCGAACAAAAAAGGTCCTAATTATGGGTGGATCGGTTCCGGTTCGGGAAGGCCCGGCCGGGCCTCGGTTCAGAAATAGGAGGCCCGGAACCAGCCCGGGTAATCCCGGGTCCGGGCCGGGCCTCGATTCTATTTTTTTTTTTTTGGCTTTTCCTAATTAACCCCCAACCCTCCCCCCTCACCCCCAAACCACCCCAAACCACCTCAAATGGCCCAAAATACTAAGCCCAACCCAAAAACTTAAAAAAAAAAAAAATTAATTTGGCCCGAACCGGCCGGGCCGGTTCGCCAATCAAAGGGCCCGGGCCCGAACCGCACAGTAACCGGGCCGGGCCGACCCGAACCGCCCCCCGGACCGGTTCCCGGGCCGGTCCGGTTCAAACAGTAACCGGGCCGGTTCCGGGCTGGGCCGCCCGGCCCGAGTCCATCCCTAGTCCTAATCCAGATCTGTGAACCAATCAGTTCCAGTCCTGACCAGGATCGTAGACCATGGACTCCTACTATCATGGTATCCCTAAAAAAGAGAAACACTGTAATGACTAGGGGTGGACCGGTTCCGGTTCGGGCCCGGTTCGGGCCTGGGCCCGGCCGGGCCTCGGTTCAGAAAAAGGAGGCCCGGGCCCGAACCGGTGGTGGGCGGTTCCGGTTCCGGTTCCGGGCCAGAACCGGGCCGGGCCACCCGGAATGTTTTTTTTTTTTTTTCTTCTTCTTCTCTTATTTAACCCCCTACCCCTCCCCCTCCACCCCAAACCACCCCAAACCACCTCAAATGGCCCAAAATACCTAATCCAACCCAAAACTTAAAAAAAATTCAAAAAAAAAAAAAAAAAAAATTAAATTCCGGCCCGAACCGGGCCCGGCCCGGCCGGGCCGGTTCACTAAACTGTAGGCCCGGGCCCGGACCGGTATACCACCGGGCCTGGAGGCCCGAACCGGAACCGAACCGGTTGACCGGGCCGGTCCGGGCCCGCACAGTAGCGGGCCGGTCCGGTTCCGGGCCGGTTGGCCCGGCCCGAGTCCATCCCTAGTAATGACCCATGCCCTCGTTGCCACTGCCAGTGAAGATCTAAATCCTCCATCTCATCCAGTGTTGCTATGTCGCGGTTTCTTTCTAAAAACTACTAGTAATTCCTAAATTGCCTCCTCCAATGACAAAGAAAGTGCCACCGAGCACTTCACCTAACCCTACGATGAGAACTCTCATCTAGGCACATCCACGGCCGAATTTGACTAAGTTAACAAAGCATAAACGGTGAAAGTGGAACTAACAACATCCCTGAAAATGGTGTCATATTTGCAGCTCCTAGTAGAGACACATGGATCCTAAAATAATCTTTTGAAAAAAAAACATCACAACTAAGAATATTCAAACAGAATATCTATGAAAACAAAGACATGTTATTCTAATGCTGTAAATAAATGTAATGCTTCATTATGTAAAGCTTTTTCAATACCTGAATGTTCACACCTTCCATTTATATTTCCCTAACTGAAAAACACATAAAAATACACAACACACACACACAGCTTGTATACATTACATCAGCAGTCAGCACCTTTCAAAGCTTTATTTCTGATACATTGCACTTGGCACCATGGATTATCC